GCGCTGGACCAGAGCCACCTGAGGAAGCGGGTGCCCTGGTACATCTCGGTCATCCACGAGAAGGTACCGCCCGCAAGCAGCTGGCCTGGTGCCGCCCAGCTCCGTGCCGTCACCCGTGGCTCCGCAGGACAGCTCTGCTCCTGCCGGAGGCTGCTCTGCCCGCGCCCCAGGCTCCCTTCTAGAATCTGCCAGCTGCGTGCGCGCAGGTCCCCAGACGTGGTCCCGCTGACCCCCAGTTCCCTCCTTTGGCATCTGGGACTCAGAGGCTCCCCGCATGGGCTGGCCCCTGCGCCTCCGCAGCCCAGAGGGTGGCTCAGAGCCTCGCCCTCACCAACGTGCAGGCAGCGTGCCAACACACAGCGTGCCCCTCACCCGGTGGCACAACCTTGGCCCAGTCCTTCCGCTCCGGGGAAGATGCGCTCAGAAACCGCTGGGGGCGCAGTGTTGGCCTGCGCCCAGCTCCCGGCGGAGTCGTTATTTCCCACTCGACTGGGAGGGAGGCCTGCCCGGGCCTTGTCGATCTCGTCATTCCTTTGTTTGAATTTGGTGGCAGAGTTCATCTGATCTCAAAAGCAGACGCGGGATGCGCTCTCCTCTTTCCTTTCCCCGTTCTCTGAAAGAGCTTGCGTAAGACGGGAGTCCTTTCTCTGAGAAATTCTGGAGTTCGTCACTGAGAACGTCTGTGTGGAGATCTGACAGGGTGGGTGTCAGTCCGGCCGGTGTGGCTCCGTGGTTGAGTGTCGACCCATGAACCAAGAGGCCACAGGTTTGATCCCCAGTAGGGGGCATGCACGCGGCAGCTGATACACGATTCTCTCTCATCATCGATGTTTCTATCTCTCACTCCCTCTCCCTCCTTCTCTCTCTAAAATCAATAAATAAAACGTGTTTTAAAACAACGAATTCAATTCCTCTTAGGATGTTCAGATCTCCTTTTCCCCTGGCTTCAGGTTGGGTGAGCTATGGTTTCCTAGGAATGTGCCCCTTTCCTGGCAATTTTCAAATGTATTCACCTGACCCTGCGTCATAATCTCTCGTTTTCCTCCCCACGCAGGCGGGAGATTGTGGGGGAGCGGCCTCTGTCGTTACTGACACTGCGGACCCAGGCCCGTTCTCTGCTCCTCTCTGTCATTCCTGTTAGAAGTTTGACCGTCTTTTCTTAGAATCCGCTTCTGTTTGGTTTTTTAAGGTGGTGACGCGTTGATGATGGTAATGGCCACGACAACAGGAAGTGTTGGGTAGTGGGCGGGTCCACAGGAGGGCCTGACCAGGTCTATTCATTTCCCTCTTCATTCTTTTTTTTTTTTTTTTAAATATATTTTATTGAGTTTTTACAGAGAGGAAAGGAGAGAGATTAGAGAGTCAGAAACATCGATGAGAGAGAAACATCGACCAGCTGCCTCCTGCACACTCCCCACCGGGCATGTGCCCGCAACCAAGGCACACGCCCCTGACCGGAATCAAACCCGGGACCCCTCAGTCCGCAGGCCGATGCTCTATCCACTGAGCCAAACCGGTTTCGGCTCCCTCTTCATTCTTTAATTTGCAGTTCGTTTTCAAATTCTAGAGATGGATACTTAGTACCTAATTGTCTTCCATTATTTTCTCCTATAGATGTGTTTTAAGGCTATACATTTGTCCTCAATTACAGCTTTAGCTGCACCCCACACGTCTCAAGTTAGTCCACAGGACTCACTTTACATGGATTCCCTAAATTCTGCCTCTACATTTCAGGAGAGCTTTCACCACTTAGGAAGTGTTGCTACCCCTTGACCAAGACATCCCACTCTGGGGAAGTAGCCCGAGGATATAATTAGATAGAGTCGCACAGATGCAGTGAAAGGACGTTCTTCTCAGTGTGGTTATTCATTCCAACTGGGGAAGGAAATGACCGGCACATGCATGTGAGCTGGCCCGGAAAAGGCTGCAGGCTTGGCTATCTCTAGGAGCTACATCGGACTTCTTGGGGTCTCCTCCCCTCATCTCTGCCTTCCTCTGAGCTGTCACAGGTGAGTCTGCCTCTTCTGGAGGGAAGACAGCCAGTGCAGCAATACACGCCTGTGTATAAACTCAGTGTCCCCAGTGCAAGGAGCACCTCCTTCCTGTATCAGTGTCTGATGTGGGACACATGTGTGTGTCTAAGTCACCCTGTTGTAGGAAGACCGGAGAAAAACCAAGCAACGCTTTAGAGAAATGGAGTTACACAGTTTATTATGCCAGGGGACTCAGAGGAATCATTTCCCAAGTCTGAGCAAAGAAACATGCAGGGAGCTTCTCCTTTATATCTTTCTGGTGTCTTTGTCCCCCAAATATGGATTATGCCTCCGGTCCTTTCACGGGCTTTGCAAAGAAGGCCGCAGGTGTTGGGGGTCTTGAGACCGTATCTAATGGTCTGGCCTGGCACCAGCGCTAATAACCCCCCCTCAGGGGCTGTGCACTGTTCATAGTTTATGGCCTCTGTATTTAGGTAACGGGTCTTACAAGACCAGTTTCTGGGAAAGAGGCAGTGACTTAATTATAGGTTATCAAGAATGTACACTGGGCTTGCTGGCACAGATTCAGGTTGCTTGCCCCCCCCCCCCCCAAATATCAGGGTTACATTGGAATTAGCCTGTTAGACTTCTCAACCAGGGCCAGGGTGAAGACATGATTTCTGTATGACTACTTGCCCCTCTAACCTAATAGGACCAATAATTCCCACATACCCTTCAGATTCTCCAAGTGTTAAAATGCAGCCATGTTTGCTTCGTCCTCTCCTCCCACTCCCTCGTTATATCACTAGTTCTTGTACTTGATCTACACTATTCCTTTCCCTCTTCATTGATTTGCAGTTCGTTTTCAAATTCTAGAGATGGATACTTAGTACCTAATTGTCTTCCATTATTTTCTCCTATAGATGTATTTTAAGGCTACACATTTGTCCTTAATTACAGCTTTAGCTGCACCCCACACGTCTCAATATGTCCAAGTGTTCATTATTGTTCAGCTTAAGATATTTTCTAGCTTCCTCTGTGACTTTCTCTTTGACTCATGGGTTGTGTGGAAGCCTACCACCTTATTTCCAAACATTGGAGGATTTTCTACTTCCCCTTCCTTCCAGAATTCTGTCTGGAAGAATTCTCTCTAGTGTCTCTAAATTCATACGCTGCGACCTGCGTGGCGGGTTTCAGGATGACCTGCAGGACGGCCGACACACAATGAAGAGACTACACAAGAAATATGAATTTTTGAGGCACGGGAGGCCAGACGGAGCCTCTTGCCAGAGGAGCCCACAAGTCCGGTCCTGCCTGCTTTTATTCAGTTTGGTCACACACTTGCTCTTTAGCAACGCATGCAGGCAGAACAGAGAGAATGGAAGGTCAGGAAAGCTCAGTGAAGTTTAGGAAACAACGGAGAGACAATCAGGTCAGGAAATCGCCCCAAGCCATCGCCATCGCCGTCGCCAGCGCAGCAGGAGCAGCCTATGCCGGTGTCAGCCCTGCTTTCATGCTAACGCTGCTCTGGTGGCCCCGCACTCATATCTGCTGGGGACCAATTCTTTCTGTCCCTTGTGTGTCCCAAACACCCCATCTGTATTGCGTCTCCAATGTTGAAGAATTTAGGGCATTGGGGTGTAGAGATGGGAAGTTGAGGGGCGGAGGAGCCCTAGGGTGGCCTGTGGAGAGAGTTTCTGGTTGAGTGTGGGCTGCAGGGAGGACGTGTCCGCAGTCACAGTGGGCGGCTGGCCAGGAGCCAGGCTGGCTCTACCCGGGAAAGCCTGTGGGCAGGACCCGGCTGCAATAAGAGGCACACGTCTTGGGCTCAGGGTCTTGGGGTCCCAGAACAGCAGGCTGGCTCTACCTGGGCCTGGAGCTGCTGTCCCGCTGATGGCTGGAAGGGGTGAGGAAGAGTGTGGTTGTGGCCCTGGCTGGTGTTGCTCAGTGGATAGAGCATCAGCCTGTGGACTGAATGGTCCTGGATTCGAGCCCGGTCAGGGCACCAGCCCAGATTGCAGGCTCAATCCCCAGAAGGTGACGTGCAGGAGGCAGTTGATCAATGATTCTCTCTCATCATTGATGTTTCTCTCTCTCTCTCTCCCTCTCCCTCTCTGAAATCAATAAAAATATATTTAACTTTTTTAAAAGCGTGTGATTGGTGGGCACTCAGGGCTGCCGTTCTCTGCCCAGGACCACTGCCTGTCCACGCTGGTGGAGGAGGTGCAGCGCCTCGCCAAGCTGAAGGGGGAGGTGCAGCGGAGGGACGAGGAGATCCTGGCGCTGCAGGGGGAGCGGGAGGCGCTGAAGAAGCAGCTGAAGTGCCTCCTCAAGAGCAGAGGCCGGGGGCCGTCCGTGTGCCAGGTGAGGGGGGCCGGGGGAGTCCCTGTGCCAGGTGAGGGGGGCCGGGCGAGTCCCTGCCCCAGGTGAGTGGGGCCGGGG